CAGGCTTACAATATGATAGCATTAGGCCAGTGTATGTACATGTACCTTCAATTTTTAAATTAAAAGCATCAGTGACTTGACCTTTTGATAAATGCTTTCCACTAGGCTAGAACCAAATTCTATTCTATGCGTAGCATCAAGACTATCGCAATATTGTAAACCAACTTTCAATTTAATTCTATACTTTCTACGCACTTAAATGTACATGTATACATGCATCATTATCTATTCATTTACTGTACATTGTATTAGTATTGTTGTATGTACATGTACATGCAATTAGTTCATGTACATGCATGTATCTGTACCTTTTCAATGAAGAATGGACGTGTGAACTTGATAGCCATCGCATAAGTACGAGTACCAAGGATATTAGTAAGGACAACAGGAACACAGGCTGGCTCCCTCTCAGTAGCATACAACTGACAACCATCTTGAGAGGAGAGGGACAGAAATAAAAAAACAAGAAAAAAAATGAATTTAAGAGATCAAAATTACAGTACATGTACATGTACATGCATATATTGTAATAATGTTAATAGATGTACATTTATTGCATGGATATAAAAGAATCATTAATATTTAATAATGATTATTTTTCAAGTACCTGGATATAAGAAGTGATGCAGTGATTCTACCGTCTCCCAGACGAGTCCTAAATCCTCCATTCTGAATCTCTTATTAATGCCCACCCCATCGGCGAGTGATTTGTCACCAGAAGGAGTACCAGCTGAAGGATACACATTAGTGGCACTACCAGTCTTGTTGGAGGAGCGATTAGGATGGACAACACCTGGGGCCAGTACTTGAAGGAATTGGACATTAATATCACGAGTTAGTAACTTCTCATAGTCATCTTGGATAGTCTGAGAGAGAGGGGGGGAAAGAGAGGGGGAGAGAAAGAAAGGGAGGGAGAGAGAGGGGGAGGGAAAGAAAGGGAGGAAGAGAGAGGGAGGGAAAAAGAGGGGGAGAGAGAGAGAGGAAGGGGGAGAGAGAGGGGGGGAGAGAGAGGGAGAGAGAGAGAGGGAGAGAAAGAGAGAGAGAGAGAGGGAGGGAGAGAGAGAGAGAGAGAGAGAGAGAGAGAGGGAGAGAGAGACAGAGAGAAAGAGGGGGTAAGGTAGTAAGGTAAAATGAAAAATGTGATCAAAGCAAGACAGAATGAGAAAGAAAAACAGGCAAAAAGCATACCATCCAATCACAGCATTGGACAGTATTATAACTTGCAAGTGAACCATACAAGTACATGTGTACATACACACACACACTAAGAGCAGATGATTTAATAATTATGAATGAACACAAACATACAAATCTAAAAGTCCTGGTATTTATTTACAATAATTATCACAAGGTTCAGGATACAGACAATCACACAATTGTACTCCTGTTGGTAATGGTATTCCCTAGGATTGACTATTCATATACTTTCACTTTCAATGTCAGGACTTTAAAAACAATTTGATAACATTTGTCTTGCGAATGGGTTGACCTGCAAGTTGCAACAACAACATTCAAAATAATCAGACAGTGAAGCATCAATTAAAATACAACAAAACTGCCTAAGAAAACAATATTAATTGCCATTCTTTAATCTTCCCTAAATCTCTTCCAATTTAACAATACAATTGCAGCAAAATGTGACAGTTGACATAAGAAGACTGTAATCAACATTATCATGAATCAGTTATGATATGTCTATTCTACATTAGACTTACATGTCTCT